AAACTCAATGATGTGAGGTATGTCCCTGACTTGAAGAAAAATTTGATTTCCCTTAGCGTTTTGGATGCGAGTGGTTATCGCATCATTTTGGAAGGAGGGAATTTGAAAGTAGCACGTGGAGCTTTGGTGGCAATTAAAGGAACTAGAAGAGGTAGCATATACTACCTCAACGGAACCACAATAATTGAGCATGCTGCTGTGGCAAGTTCGAAAGAACAAGACATATCGAAATTATGGCTCATGAGACTTGGGCATGCTGGTGAGAAGGCGCTTCAGACATTGGTGAACCAAGGAGTCCTTGAGGGTGCCACAACTGGTAAAATTGATTTTTGTGAACATTGTATATTTGGTAAACAAAAAAATATAAAGTTTGGTACTGCTATACACCAAACAAAGGGCATTTTGGATTATATTCACACTGATGTATGGGGTCCCACGAAGAATGTCTCGTTGGGAGGAAAGAGGTGGTTTGTCACCTTTATTGATGACTACTCGAGGAAAGTTTGGATGTATCCCATGAGGCACAAAAACGAGGTTCTCCAAATCTTCCTAGAGTGGATGAAAATGGTAGAGAACCAAACGGACAAGAAAATCAAAAAGTTGAGATCAGACAACGGTGGAGAATATACTTATGATCCATTCCTTAAAGTATGTCGAGAAAAAGGGATCGTTCGACACTTCACTATTCCTGGTAAGCCACAACAAAATGGAGTTGCTGAGAGAATGAACCAGACATTAATAGAGAAGTTTCGATGCATATTGTCTCAAGCAGGATTGAGTAAGGCTTTTTGGGCTGAGGCTCTCAGTTATGCAGTTCACTTGGTGAATCGTTTACGTGTTTCTGGAAATGGTGGGAAAACTCCGCTTTAGGTATGGTCGGGTACTCCTGTTAGTGATTATGATGAATTGCATGTGTTTGGGTGTCCTGCTTATTATCACGTGACAGATTCAAAGCTAGATCTTAGAGCAAAAAAGGCCAAGTTTATGGGCTTTAGCAAAGGCGTGAAGGGCTATAGGTTATGGTGTCCAGAAACAAGTAAGATTGTTAATAGTCGAGATGTGACATTTGATGAGTCTGGAATGTTGTTGCAGAAAATTGAAAATACTGACAAGGCATTGAAGCAGGTGGAGAAGGTGGTGTTCTCTCCTGATATGGTTGCTCCTGCCGAAGAACCTTTTGATCAGGTAGATAACTTTGATGTCTTAGAACAGGAGGAGAAAAGCCTTGTAAATGAAAGAGTGGAGGAACCTGAGTCCATCGCCAGGAATAGACCACGAAGGGAAATTCGAAAACCTGCGAGGTTTGATGATATGATAGCATATGCTTTCCCTTTGATTGATGAAGTTCCCAACAACTACAAAGATGCTATCCAGAGCCCGGATAGATTGCACTGGCAAGAGGCTATGAATCAGGAGATAGCATCATTGGAGGTAAATCAAACTTGGGATTTGGTACAACTTCCAAAAGGTAAGAAGGAAATTGGTTGTAAATGGGTTTTTGCAAAAAAGGAAGATCCTTCTGGTATACGTTATAAGACTCGACTTGTGGCTAAAGGCTATGCACAAAAGGAAGGTATTGATTGCAATGAAATTTTCTCACCTGTGGTAAAACATTCTTCCATTCGAATTTTATTGGCTTTGGTTGCTCAATTTGATCTTGAGCTTGTACAACTCGATGTAAAAACTACTTTTTTGCATGGGGATTTGGAAGAAGAAATATATATGGCGCAACCAATTGGTTTTCGAGAAATTGGACAGCAACATTTGGTATGCAGATTGAAGAAATCTTTGTATGGGCTGAAGAAATCTCCTCGCCAATGGTATAAAAAGTTTGATCATTTCATGGTAGAGCATAAGTATACTCATAGTCAATTTGATCCTTGTATGTATTATCGGTGTCTTGATGATGATCGTTTATCTATTTGCTCTTATATGTTGATGATATGTTAATTGCTTCAAAGAGACAGGTGGAGATTGATAAGCTCAAAGATCAGCTTTCTAAAGCATTTGGAATGAAAGACTTAAGCAATGCAAAGAAAATACTTGGAATGGAGATAGAGCGAGATTGGAAAAAAGGTACAGTCTGGTTGACTCAGTCTCAATATCTACGCAATGTATTGACAAGATTTAGTTTGAATAATTCAACCAAACTCGTTGGTACTCCACTTGCTCCTCATTTCAAGCTTAATGCTTCCATGTGTTCAAGTTCTGACGATGACAAAAGGTATATGGAGAATATTCCTTATGCAAATGTTGTTGGTGCTTTGATGTATGCTATGGTATGTACTCGGCCTGATCTTTCACACGCAGTAAGCATGGTGAGTCGTTATATGCATAATCCTGGTAAAGAGTATTGACAAGCTGTCAAATGGATTCTTAGGTACATTCTTGGTACTACTGATGTTGGTATTAAGTTTCAAAAGCAAGAAACATTTAATTCTGACAACCTTGTAGTTGTTTGTGTGGATTCTGATTATGCTGGTGATTTGGATAAACGACGATCTACTACGGGTTATTTATTTACTATGGCTGGTGGACCTGTTTGTTGGCGCTGAACATTACAGTCTACTGTTGCACTGTCTACCACCGAAGTAGAGTATATGGCAGTAAAGAAAGCTTTTAAAGAAGCTATTTGGATGCATGGTTTGATCAATGACTTGGGTATTTTGCAGGAAGTCCATCATGCTCGTACTAAACATATTGATGGCAGGCTGTCAAATAGATTCTTAGGTACATTCTTGGTACTATTGATGTTGGTATTAAGTTTCAAAAGCAAGAAACGTTTAATTATGACAATCTTGTAGTTGGTTATGTGGATTCTGATTATGCTGGTGATTTTGATAAACGACGATCTACTACGGGTTATTTATTTACTATGGCGGGTGGACCTGTTTGTTGGCGCTCAACATTACAGTCTACTGTTGCACTGTCTACCACCGAAGTAGAGTATATGGCAGTAACGAAAGCTTTTAAAGAAGCTATTTGGATGCATGGTTTGATCAATGACTTGAGTATTTTGCAGGAACATATTGATGTGTTTTGTGATAGCCAGAGTGCTATTTGTTTGTCAAAAAATTAAGTCCATCATGCTCGTACTAAACATATTGATGTCCGTTTTCACTTTATTCGAGAAATTATTAGTGAAGGGGACATTCGTTTATTAAAAATTGGAACTGCTGATAACCCTGCTGATGTGTTGACAAAGGTGATCGCTCGTGAAAAGTTTTGGCATTGTTTGGATTTCATCAACGTTGGAAGAAAAGAGTAGTAAGTTGATGTGGTGGCAACCAACTCAGTTATCAACTTGGAGATCTTATAACAAGGTGGAGATTGTTGTAAATTGTCATAAGTTTTGATTTGATTTGGTTATTTAGATTAGATTTGATTTAGTTTTTTGGATTAGATTTGATTTGGTTATTTGGATTAGATTTGATTGGGTTATTTGAATTAGATTTAAACTTATTAGATTTGATTCGGTAATGCTATATAATAAGAGAGTTCTCCCTCCATTCGGATCATCCATTCCTAACAAGTGGTATCGGAATTTGGGAGAGTTTTGGGTGTCACATCGTATTTGTTGAGTGAAACATTGGTGAGAGTCTTTGTAGTGTGATAGTGAGGTATTCACTTGTAACACTTGGATTTTTTAGTGATTGGTCCGTGGATGTAGGAGAACTTCTTCTCTCCGAACCACGTAAATATCTTGGTGTCTCTTGGTGTAATTCCATTCACTAGTGTTGTGAGTACATTCGTTCCGCTTTCGGCGCTAACAGGCTTGACTATGTCACTTGGTTTAGTTTTCCATAATTTCTCATGGTCTAGCTCAGTGAGGGCTCTTATTTAGGTGTGATACCATATCACTCAACTAACAAATTAACTAGCACTTAACTATTTCCTATGCCATAAAATCAATGTATCATAATCTTTTAGGAGTCCTATTGTGCATAACCTAAACCCTTATCACGCTCATGTTTCACCTACTTGGCATGGTATCAAGCACATACAAATTAACTACTTCGCAACATTGTTATTTATGATGATCTCAAAACTATGAAGATGTTAACCTCATTGTTTCTTATGGTCTTAGAATTAGAAATGACATTAATCTTTTTCTTTCTCATAGTCTCAAACATGATCACAAAACTACACAAAGGGACGAAAAGATTATTGTTTCTCATAATTTTCAAACTATAAGATTGTTTCTCAGGTCTTATAATTACAAAGAGTGGCCACAACCTTGTTTTTTCACAATCTCAAATATGGTCTCAAAACTACAAAGAATTACAATAACCTTACTAAAACGTGGTTTCAAAACTATAAATATTGGTGACAACCTTAATTCTCAAACTATAAATAGGTTGTATGAATGAGATAAGTAATCAAGTCAAGTCGAATTCATGGTGAAGAAAATCTCTATAGTATATAAAATAATATTGAGTTCATGAAATAACATAAAATATTAATTTATTGCACAACACAAAAATACCCTACGCCAGCAATTGTATGTTTTTAATTAAAAATTTAATTATTCTTATCGATCCTCAAATGAAAATAAAAGGAGGGAAAATTAGAAATGGTATACTCAAACATTCTATACCTGGAATATTCCCAAACCCACACAATTTAATACCCTTTCTAAATTTTGTGGTCTTTTCTAGATATAGTTTTCCTATCAAACTATATACAGGGTTTCACATTATTAGAGAAATCCAAGCAGTCATTCCTTACCCATTGCTACTCTTCATTATTTGTGCATGGAGCTTGTAACCTTACAACTTTAAGACACTCCACAATGGAAGCAGGCAAAGGTTTCAAGCTCATTCTCATCCACACTTGCAAAGGTTTCAAGCTCATTCTCATCCACACTCTTTTCTTAGTCATTGTTTGAAGTGTTGTAAATCTCAATCATCAATTTTCATTTCGTGCCTTTGGATAACATGACACACAAGCCCCAGCAGTTGCACCAATTTGAAGTTGCACGAAAGTCCTAGTGGCTGTATCGTTAGGAAGCACCGCTCAAACTTCCAAGGCTTTAACCCCGGAGGCTTCATCAGTTGGAAGCATTGCTCTAACCTCGAAAGCTACACCACAAGTTGGAAGCATTGCTCAAACCCCAACTATTGACCAATTGGAGGTAGCACACAAGCCGAGAGTAGCATTGCTAGGCGTGGAGGTTTTGCTATTAACCAACAAAAACCTAAGCCAAACCAATTTTAGTCGATTTTTTTTTTTAACTTTTAGCTACATGTTTTATATTGGATGTTGATTTCAATATTTTCTATTTGTTTCTTTTTTTTTTTTTTTTTTTTTTTT